ACTAGTCATCACCACCCACCGCCAACTCTTGGGCTACTCTTTTACCAACGAATAGTGGGATTGACCGTCACATTGTAACGACCCCACTGCTGAAAGGGCGACCATGTTTGGTGTGACCGGGATTCGAACCCGCAACCCTCAGACTGCGAGGGCCGGGCCCATTTCGAAAGAAGACGTACACCAGAATGACATGACGTGTTGTTCTGTATAAAATCCCCCTCCCCAAGTGGCACAGCGGCATGTCTGCGGACTTACAACGCTAGAAACCGGATTTCGATACCCGTGGTGGGCAGAGCACAGGTAGCCCATTTTGTAGCTTTGTGCTAAACGTCAAACAAACAAATAGTCTGTATATAATACCCAAATTCCGTGACAGTGTCATTTTTAAATTGCTGGAATGCAGTAGTTAGAGGGAATTAAACTATGTTCAGGTTACTGTTAGTATTGCCTAAGAAAGTTCTACCTTCAATTGAATGGCTTTATTAATCAATCTATTCAACGAAAATATTAGGTTTACACAACAATGCAGAATGTGTACAAAGTATTGTTTCAGTTTTACCAGTTTGATCTAATTTCTAATTTATGTTTTAGAAAATAAACATTATCATAACAATTATTCTTGCTTTATGCACCATGTATGAGTATTAAGTAAAATGTTAAGATTTTTTTGTGACAACTATACTTATGTGTAAGGTTAGGTTAAAATGCTGTTAAGGCTCATTTCCTTTAACTAGCGAATGTAATATAGCCTGACGCGATACCTATAAGGTAAAAACATGATGAGCTATCGCAAAACGTTAAAGTTTCGAACTTTCACGCACATACGCACAGATCCGAAGTGGGAGCGCGGCTTTGAAGCAGCTGGACGCGAAGCGAACCATGAACATTCCGACTTACACTCTGAGTACACTAACCGTTAGACCACACTCGACCTTAAGTTTAAAAAAAAAAGGTATTCGGATCACAAATCGTAGAAGGGAACAATGAGTGTTGGTGATTATTCTATTAGCTTTAAATTGCCTTTTAACCCTCTCAGATTGAAAGCTACAACAGACACTTCGTAGTAGTGTTCAGAAACTTACTTGTTCACTGAAGTCTCCTGTAACTCTCGTCCAGTGGAACGTCACAACAGTGTTCAAGACATACTTGTCCACTGAATTCTCTTGTATCGTTCCTCTGATGAAAATGTCACAACAGTCACATTAGAGTGTTCAAAACAAAACTTATCCACTGAATTATCCTGTATCTCTCTTCCTTTGGAATACCACAGCAGTCACTTATAGTGTTTACTGGATTGTCTTGTAACTCTCCTTCCTCACTTGGAATGCCTCACCAGTCATTTTATAGCATTCAGCACGTACTTGTCCACTAAATTATCCTAATGTTGGTAAAGCTCTCCCTTTATTCAAATAAAAATTGAATATTGAGTTTTAGCCCTTTAGTTTGTTATTTACGTATATATGTATGTGTGTGTGTGTGTGTATATATATATATATATATACACACACACACATTTTTAATCAATACAGAAACTATTTCCGAGAGATACAATCTCCTGAAAGCTCTTCCACAACTGTCATTGAGCTAAGGTGATTAGGCTGTGACTTAAATATCACCACGCTACAGTTAATAATGCAACGGATAAGTAACACTATTCTTATGCTGTAATAATAATATCTCTTATGCTATTTTCATTGTTCATTCTGTGTTAGTGCCATTACTTCGACAACATGACGCATTTGTGTAGAGAGATCTGGCAGTACTGTTGAGCTCTCTGGTGATTGTGACTGATTTGGAAAAAGAGATGTTAAAAGTTCAATGAAGCAAATCATGACAAGATTACTGTTTCATCCGGGTCAATGCACGTGCTTCTTACAGAGAGGTGGAGTGAGCGAAAAACGAATTAAATAGAAGAGTGACAAGTTCATTATTATGTTTAATTAATGAAGCGAGAGAACTAGCTTAATCCGTCAATTTTAGTAGGTCAATTAGTTAGCTTATTTTACTCAAGAATGAAACTGCTTTATAATTCTTTTTCTGCTAAAACTAAGGGAAGGAATGAGTAATTTAATCTTACAATAGATGGATAGATGTTTTCAGTAGGTAAAAATTTAAATTCCAGTTAGAAATTACAACTTTTTCTGATCTATTTACTTTACATTTAAACAAATTAACAGTGAGATTTTGAAAAACCTAATGTTATAAATTTTACTGCTCACACTTTTTACCTAATTTATTCTTTATTGAAATAAATTATTTTTAATTCATAGTTCTAGTACTTCGCCGTAGATGGCATTGCGCTCTCAAAATAGTTGTTGTTCGTTATTAAGCACAAAGCTACACAAAGGGCTATCTGTGCTCTGCCAACCAGGGGTATCGTAACCAGGTTTCTAGCAGAATAAGTCCATAGACATACCACTGTCCCACTGGGGGACACTCAAAATAGTATCTCACCACTACGTGTCCACCACCGGTTAGCACCATCAGGATTTAATGAACTTTGAATCTCTGGTATCTTTCATCTTCTCAAGCAAAATTAAAATACAATAAAGTACTTGATTTGAAAGTTCTGTTGAAAACAGCAATAAAGTTAACCCTTTCGCCATGAATGAATATGCACGTTATTCTTATTGTATTATTTAATAATGGAGAAATTCGTGGCGACACTAAGAACACTGGACAAAACAAAAAAAAAGATTAATATTGTATAATACATAATATTTTTCACTTTACTCACGTGGCACTTATGCATTATTTCATCATTATTATTGACACACAGACTCAATATTGAATTCAATAGTTATTCACACTCAGAATCAAAAATAAATATATCCTCATCATGACTCCCTGATCTGGAAAATCGAAGAATATTCCCAATAAATACATAAAAATGAATGCCAATTGCAGCTGCCGATGTAATTCACACTTGAAGAATTGCAGCCTTAGGAGCAAAGCATGGATGCTTTAATCATCTCATCGTTTGTATTACTGTACATACGAGTCTAAAACTTGAAGTCTGAACATGCCTTATTTTTCATTCATTGGTCATTCATTTTTAAACCTTACATTACCATCAGCGTATCTTTGATGTTCTGAGTAAGTTATCAATTACAGAAATATCAAAGCTACGCTGACGACAATGTAAGGCATAAAAGCAAATGACCAATCAGGATAAGGCTTGTGAAGCGTTTTCACTTGTTAATGTCGTTAAAAATTTCCAATTTCTCGCCTATGATAGTTTCAACCCGTTTTTATTTAATGTCATAGGGTACAAAATAAAGAATAAAGTTGTTCAAAACTTATGTAACATCTTGACGTTTTCTTATTATCGTGAATCTAAAAATTATATTTTAATGAAAACAAAATCTACCGAATTTCAACTTTTAACTTATTTTATAGGAATAGATAAACGTTTTAAACATAAATTATATAGTTCTTTCATTCTACTAATCTTTTTTCATACTTATAGTATATTTAGTAAACTGTATATGAGCTCAATAGTTTACAGATCAGAGAATGTTTTTAAAGTAACACCTTGAAAACTTATTCGATATTATTTAATTTATTGATTAGTTCGAAATTGATCTAACGTTTCTGCCAAGACAGAAAAATACACGATGATATATAACACAAAATAATATAGGTTTCAGTTTTCAAAACTCGTTCAGTATATGATAACCTTCAATTGTAACATCTAGTTGCGTTCATGTACTTTCCTGTATCTAAGTTGTGCTTTCAAACTGTCAATGTGGAAACACCTGTTGCTGCTTTTAAGTGGCTTTAGCTCTAATGAACATTAAAAAATAGTGAAATTATTTATGACATTGAACACCACAAAAGCGTAAAAAAATAAATAAAAAGTTAGCGACGGGAGATTTTGCTAGACTTGGACATATACTCCAATTTCCTCACAACAACGGACACACTTTGTTTCCATGAGAACGGACCACACCAAGAACTCGTAAATGGCATCCAAGATGGAAGGTAGGGGTGGTGTTAAAGATTGGATGGTTTTGAAACAAAGTTATTAAATAACTGTTATAGAAAGTTTACATTCTTCACCAACAGTGGCACAGCAACGACAAGCGTGGGACGGAGGAAAAGAGCGAGAATTGCAGAGGAAACGACATTTGGAAGCTATGATGATTAATAGACGCACTTTTGAAGACCGCAAACGTGATGTAAAAACTTGGCTCGATCGAATCGAGAATAGGGTAGAAAGACTTCCCCCTGTCGGCCAAACTCTGGATGTTCTTGAAGTCCAAGTGAAAGAACAAAAGGTAAATTCCCTTGCGTTATGTTATTGACATCATCATTTATTAAGTATGTTAAAATTATTTCCCTTGAGCAAGAAAAAATCATATGATGACAGAAAAGTAGTGCTAAGAATAGAACTGACAGTAAGAGTTAACAGTTAAACTTTCATGTTCTCTCAATCAGTCTAACTTAACATATCCGCATTGAAAAATAACTCTAAAGTTGATAAAATACCCGTTATAATTCACTGGATTAACAAAGTAACACATTTGTTTGTATGAATAAACTTAACATGTCCGCATTGAAAAATAACTCTAAAGTTGATAAAATACTCATTATAATTCACTGGATTAACAAAGTAACACATTTGTTTGTATGAATAAACTTAACATGTCCGCATTGAAAAATAACTCTA